TGCCATCATAAAAGACACCCAGTTGAAGTAGGTATTATTTCTCAAGTTGTATCTTTTATTCTGTAATTTTTAAAAACCAGTGCCAGTGTTTTCAGTGCTCTAATGTTACAGCAAAAGCAGCAACATATGTAGTCTATTATATTGTCACTACCCAAATGGAGTTTCCTTGGCTGGAACTCTGGTCTCTAGACTATGGAGATTACAGGCTCATGTCTGGACACCTATTGTTAAATGGGGCACAGTAAGCCAGTTTGGTGTAGTGGTTAGGAGCGCGGACTCTAATCTGGGAGAACCGGGTTTGATTCTCCACTCCTCCACATGCAGCTGCTGATATGACCTTGGGTCAGTTACAAGTTATTTCAGAGCTGTTTCTCTTATGAGCAGTTCTCTCAGAGCTCTCTCAGCCCCACCTAACTCACAGGGTGTTTGTTGTGGGGAGATGAAGGGAAAGGAGATTGTAAACTGCTCTGAGACGTCTTTGGGTAGTAAAGGGCGGGGTATAAATCCAATCTCTTACGTTCCTGGTATATTAGGCGATATAGGTTCACACAGCATCTGGAACAGTAGCTATAAATGAGATTGACTGCATGTGGGTTAGGTCCCACTTTAAGATCTGCTCTGGACTACAGAATATTTTAGAGGTAGTGGTCTTCTTTGACCTATTTCTGATGCTGCAACTAAAACAATTTGCATTCAGAGCCAGTTTGGTGTAGTGGTTAAGTGTGCGGACTCTAATCTTGGAGTATCGGGTTTGATTCCCCACTCCTCCACTTGCACCTGCTGATGTGACCTTGGGTCAGTCACAAGCTCTGGCACAGCTGTCCTTGAAAAAGAGCAGTTTGTGTCAGAGTTCTCTCAGCCCCACCCACCTCACAGGGTGTCTGTTGTGGGGAGGGGAAAGGAAAGGAGTTTGTAAGCCGCTCTGAGACTCCAAGTGAAGGGTGGGGTATAAATCCAATCTCCTCTTCTTCTTCTTCATTCTGAATAGGATGCCACATTGGGGTTGCTGCTCGCTTTGTCTCTCATTGCAGTTGCAGTTCCATTCTCTGCACCCAGGGGTGTGGCCAGCATGTATACCACCATCTGTATGTCTGGCCCTTGTTTGCTGTCACTGACATAAATCTGGGAGGTAGCCAGTGCAATTGTTAAACGACTGTGTAGTCTCCCCTGCAGTCAAGGAGCTGGTAATGAGACTATGACTTAACCATAGCAAGGTGATCTATGAAATTACTGGCCAGTCTCTAATCTTGAGTGAGATGCATCAGTGTATGGTGGCAGCCCAGCTCCAGATACTCCTGGGTGATGCTGCTGATCTCAATCCATTACAGTCTATTTTTCAACTTGGTTTGGGGACTAAAGAGGCCATGATCATCATGGTGGATCACCTATACCTGTTATTCATTCAGACCATCTTTGTTCTACTGTGAGATAGTGCTCAAGTGCTCAAGAATGCATAGCATAATTTTAGTCAAAATAAAATAGGTCATTGTTTAGCCTTCAGTGAGAAGAATAAGCAAACACTGTACAACCCCCACCCAAAATCAGTGGGAGTCAAAGTTTAAGTTTGGTGGAAATGTATTTATCATTGAAATTAATTTTGTTAGGTGGATCAGAGATGGGCTTAGTACTAATTCTTATTACAACGCAATTAAAAAACAAAATGAAACTCTAAAAATATATTGCTATTGAAATGGCAATTGCAAGGCAGGAATAAAACATATAATGTGAAAAGATTTCCACGTATGTGGTAACATGGCATCAGGTGTTCAAGTTGTTGACTCAGCATAAAATTACTACTGTGTAATTAAACAGCACTGAATACTAAATTTGCTACTTCAACATAAACTCCAAAACAAATTTTTGCAGTAATTTACAAGACACAGTTGTAGCCTGAAAACTGAGCAGTGTTTATTTTAATATTGTTTATTTTAATCAGTCCACTTGCTGTAGACAAGTGGTTTTCTTCTTTTGAAGAAGGCTTTAAGCAAGCAGGTTCTACTGTAAAAGCTCTGGGTATGTAAATTTATCAATCTAGGATTAATTAAATTTGGGAAATAGGATTACATTGCCTAACTATTTTAATTTTCTTATAAATCCAGCTCAATGGTCAGCCCGTTCATGAAGTGTCTGAAGAGGAAATAATGCAGACTGTTCGAAGAGACAACCTAAAACAGCCATCTGATGCAGAAAAGAAAACTGAAAAGGTGAATGATAGACAGCTGCAAATGGAGTTTCTGATCTGATAGAAGATTCAAGTCCAGAAGCATCTTAGAGGCAAAATTCGGACTGATATTTTTTGTGTCCTTAATGCTAGTTATCAGAATAAGGCAGCATAGTTTCAAACAGAAGCATAGTTTAATAACTCAAATTCTTTCTCTGTGTGTAGCTGGAGTGATTGTAACTTCCTCTTCTCCTTGCTCCAGCTGACACCAAGTCCTGGAGTGGACTCGGACAGTTAAAACACTGGCCCAGATTAAAAGAACAGAGTTGTCAAAAACACCACAATATTCATACGTTTTGGCTGGCCTTAGTCATCAGTCAACATCTGTGCTCACCAGTGATCCAGTCTCTCACCCAGTGTGCGATGGATGGGGCTTTGTGTTTGACATGCTGCGGTCAGCACCTTTGAGCACAGAATAGCTGCGGAGGCAAGGTTTCCTCCGCTGCTCCAAACATGGAGGAGGACATGAGCTGATAATGGAGAGTCTCAGAAGACAGTGAGATATCTCTACTTTTTGAGGCTTGGGAGAGTCTCTGTCTTTCTCCAGGTTCTGGAGAAGAGTGAAAGAGGGCTGTAGACTGGTTAGAAAGATGAATTCACCATCTTGCCATTGACATTACATTTGTGGTCCCTTTGTTCAAACCTTAACAGCATGTTGGTGTTTGAGAAATAATGAATTTACCACCTTGTTTTCACATGAAGAAAAAATGTTCTGGAAGAACTCAGATATTTTCTCATTAGAGAATGTATGTCATTGAGACCCATTAAGATCTTTGTATGACTGACAGCATTCTGAGGTGGGTTATACCGAGAGTGTGTGACTGGCCCAAGGTCACCCAGTGATCGTCCATGGTAGAGTGGGGATTTAGACTTGGTTCTCCAAGAGCCTAATCCAACACTGTAACTGCAACAACACACTATGTAATAGAATATTGAAATAAATGACAATTTATGATCAAAATTTGGGTAAAGTATCTTAAATGAGAAAATTGTGATGAAGCTGTCATACTTTCAAAAACTTCTTTTAAGTGTACAAAAGATGACATATACAGGTCAAATACCAATTGTGGGGGGGGGGAAATCAGATTAACCTATCATTGACAGTACCTTTATTCAAATGTTCTCCCAGGATATTGGCATATTTTAATATGTATCAGCTTTTTCTTGTAAGATGTGTAGCACTTATCAGGTTATGTATCAATTAGACAAATACCATTTAGCATCCTTAAAGCTGAAGCACTTGCAAACTGTGCTTCAGGATAAAAATATTTTCTTGGAGACTGAATGTTTGCTGCTAATGGCAATTTTGAGCCCTGCAAGAAGTACTGCTATTACTCTGTGAGAGAGTGAGTTGCATCCCATCTTGTCCTCCAGCAGAAGGTTCCTTGGGGTGGAGGGAGGAGGCACCCTGATGGGCTGAGTGGAGTGATAGACTACATCTCTGTCTTTTTTTTTCCTTTAAATGATGGCTTCATGTTGATGGTTGCTTCAAATCTTGCCATGTTTTCTATACTTTCTGATAATTAATTTTAAATATTTTGATAAGTAGTGAAAAAATTGCTTTCTATTTTAGTCGAAGAAGAACAAGAAGAAACCGAAGGGAGACACCAAAACGGTTCAGGACCAGTCACGCACTGAAGGAAAGGAAATAGATGAAGGTATAGAAAAGTGAAAACAGAGCCTCAGTTGTGTTGTTGTTTTTTTTAAAGAAATTCATGATTCATTGTACTGTTATCTTAAATGTTCATGATTGCCAATCCAAGAATAGGTTAATAGTCTTTACATGTGAAGTAGGAAAGCTGTCATTTAAATTATACTGTTGTAGTATACACTTATGAATGCTGAAGAATGGCTTGCTTTGAGCTTTTATTAGCTAATTGGAGGCACTGTGTTATAGCCCCTGAATCTGTTCACTAATAATGGCATTTTCCTCCCACCCTAAGGATCCCCCCCAACTTGCATCAGGGGAAAACCCCATGGGTGAGAGTAAAGTGCTTATTGCTGGCAAAGTGGATCTGTGGGATCCAATTCAATGTGCTAGTTTAGTTGTTTTCAAACATCCCACCTTGCCTGCTAAAGAACTGCACATCTTGCCATTGAAGCTGCATACTTTGCAAAGGATATGGAAGACAGAAGAAGGCTCTAGGAGGCATACTTAATTTATATGGGATGCTGACTAGAACTCATGAACCCCACTGCATATACAGAGCATACATTTCTGATGAAAACAATAATTTTCTAGTAAGGGAAAGTCCATAATAGATAGGCAAGTTATTGTTCAGGAAAGCTTGTTTGGCAGTACTAATATTCTCATTCAGGAACACTTGACATTACCAAGGAACTCCAGAGGTCTCTGGAACATAATTTGAAAACCATTGAACTACATTACTACTTTTGTCTTATCCAGTACTGCTTCTTGTGACCCTTTCAGGAGCTTGGGAAACAAAAATCAGTAACAGAGAGAAACGGCAGCAACGTAAACGTGACAAGGTACTGACTGATGCTGGATCAGAATCGAACCTGCCAGGCATGGAGAATTCAGTTACAGTGTCCACTGAACAACTAACATCTACAACATCCTTTTCAGTTGGCCCCAGAAAAAGCAAAGGTATGCCCTCCCTCCTTTGGAGAGTAATATTTAAAGATATAGGTAGTATCACAGGTATAAATGAAACTATCTCTTCTCTATGGATTTAGTTAAAAATGATAGGTTGGTTAAAATGCTCAGGAGGGTGAATAAGGTTGGACACAGGAACATTCCCCAGGCATCTGTTTTGGTCTTTTTCATCAGGCTGTGTTCTGACAGCTTTCAGAAGATTCCTGATTTGCACAAGTCACTGCTAATTTTATGTAGTTCTGTTTAGCCCCTGTCTCACTCCTAATAACCTCTGTGGAAAAAACAGTATTGGGTATCTTGACAGATTTGTTTAGTACTTATTGGAATAATCAGTAGCTATATAGCATTTTCCTGTTCTACCAAAGAGTCAGATCTTTTGTAACTTTACCAAGTTAATAGATTACCTTTTGGACTTGAAACCCCCAGATTTCTTACAGGCATTCTGATGCCTTTTTAGAAACTAAACTTGATAAGATATGTGATTTAGATCCCACATAAAATTATGTTAACCAAAGGCACTAAACATTTCTATATAGTATAGGTTCAACTTCTTCATTAGATGCCACTGCATTATAAAAATCTACTTTCAACTCTCTTCATCCTTAAACATGTTGTGTGAATACTAACTGCAACCTCATCTTCAACATGAGTTAAGATTATATACATTTTGATTTTTGGTGGCTTTTCTTTCTGTTTTTGAGCCCTTGGCTAGTTAGGCTTAGTGTGTATATGCCTTCTGTTGTCTATCCATCAGGATAAATGGATTAAATTTATTAAGGTATTTAGTCATTGTTTTTTTAATCAGGTGACAGTACTTCAAATATTCAAGTTAGCAACTCTAAATCTGGAAAAGGTGATGCTGTACTCCAACAAGGTAAGATCTGCCTGCTTTGTACTGTATGCCAACTGGAATTGTGATACTGTTTTTTCCTTGGAGAGTGTACAGACTTCAGCAAGTTACCATCTTCAGGTTAGCTGGCTTGCGTAATTGCTGTATTAGTTGCCAGATCATTTATATTTAACTTTTATCCAGCTTTAGTAGTTTTGTTCCAAATAACTCCCAATTTGCATTTTAATGCCTAGCACAAACCTGAATGCAAGAGCCATGTACTACAGTTTAAGTGGTTCACGTTGTTCTCATTATTGAATACAATTTGTGAGACTTTACTTAGAAGCAAGTCTTAATCAGTTCAGTGAGATTCTCAAGTAAATGTGCATAAAACTGCAGTCTTCACGTGGAGAGAGGGTGGGAAGCTTAGATCTAGTGACCTCTATACTTTGTTTTATCTAGAGAATATTTTGTAATTTCTGGTATAAGTTATGTACTTTCCCACTTGCCGCAATGTAAATTCTATAGTTGTGACATGCACTAAAGCAAGTTTTATCCCCCGTCAAGAAAGGAGGATGATAACATGGTATGTTCTTACTCTGATATGTTTGGATAGCCCCTTTCAGTAGAAGGGAATTGAGGTGAAGATATTGTTGGCTTAAAAGGAGAAACCTGAAGCACTGGGACAGAAATAAGTCCTTTTGTAATAGTGAAAAGGAAGTGATATGAAGATAGTATAAGCTTGATCTTGATAAATTTCCCCCTTTTTGAAAAGAACTAAATATTTTATTATATTATAATATTAAATATTAAATAAAATATTAATAATATTTTAAAGCAATAAATAATATATTTAAAGCAAAATGCTTCTATTTTTGTGTACATATTTTGTGCAGGGTTGAATGAAGGACCAACAGTAAATGGAGGAAACTGGAATGAAAAACCTGTAAAGCTCTCCTCTCAGATCGGTACAAGTGAGGAGAAATGGACTTCAGTGTCATCTGCAGGTAGCAAGAAGAAGAGTGAGACGTCTGCTTGGGGAAAAGATGCAGCAGATAATGGAAATGGGAAGGAATGGGGAGTGTCCCTGGTGGGCAGAACCTGGGGTGAGCGCACTTTGTTCCCTAGTATTGGTAAGTGTTTGTTTCTCCAAAGGAGCCTTTTCCATCAGATGGAATCAGTGTTGGTACTTTTAAAATATATATTTGCATCATTTATCTCCTCTGCAGGATATTCTGCAATGCAGATAACCCTACATATTAACAGAATTCCTAATATAATAATTGAAACACTTCAGTCCAGTGAGTGAGGGCCAGGATCCAAAGAACTACTTGAGATCCAAATGAAAGCTTGGACATGCTCACAAAGCTTTTTTTCCTTTCACACATACTATCACAATCCAAGTTTGAAATTCTGTACACCCCCTTCAAGAAATTGTTGCCTTATTGTTCAAGTACAGATACATATAGCTGGCTGTGCACTTCCTCAGACCTTTTCAACCTATGTGTTGTATTTTTTAAAATCACTATTGAAAAAGGACATGCTTGGATTTGGAAGTTGTGACTGTGTGAGTAAAGCTCTCTGTGTTTGTAATTTTATATAACATCTCACAGAATATTATTTGGCATGATTATGAAAAGCATTGCGGATGATCCTTTAATGAGTAACAGTATTGTAGATATAATGGATTTTGCTTGTTTCATGTACCCCAGTTTGAGTGTCTCTACTCCAGCTCCTAATTTTGAACTAGCAATTCAGGCAGTGATATACTTAGCACCAGTCATATGTGTGTGGACACGATATTAAATGGGCACATTTGGAAGGAAACTTAATTATATTTCTCTACATTTTGGGACATTTTTCTGTCATTTTTTAAAGATGAAAAATGTCATGTAATACATCATGATTTATGGTTGTATGCATAGTATTTCAGCATATTCAACCTATGCAGATTTGGCTATAGAACAAACTAACTGGAGTGTTTGGGGAGGTATGAGGTACACATTCTAGAACAAGAATAATCTTATGGAAGAAGGTAGAGAGATCTCGTCAGATCTTGGAAACTAAGCAGGGTGGGCCCTGGCTAGTATTTGGATGGGATACCTCCAAGGAATTCCAGGGTCACAACACAGAAACAGGCAATGGCAAGCCACCTCTGAACGTCTCTTCCCTTGAAAACTCTACAGGGTCGCCATAAGTCAGCTGTGACTTGACAGCACTTTCCACCAACAGAGTGGATTTGTGTTTCTGACACTTTAAATTAAGGAACAAATTCCAGGTTTTTGACATGTTACTATGGTTAAGTTGTGGGGGGGGGATGCAAAGGAGATAAATTGTTGGTCACAGCTTTAGACTTCTACTAATACTTGTACAATGAGGTTGCATGATCTTGGGACACTTGTACTGGCTGGTGAAATTTTCAGTATGTAGTAGTGGCAAAAATTTATAATTCTCTTTATCTTTCCAGCAGCCTGGTCTGGAGTGGATGGAAGAATTAATACTCCTGAACAGAGTTCTGCTTCATTCACTTCTTTGGGATTAAATCCTGCAGTTTCCGGTATGACTTTAAAATTGCTCTACAAATGTGGACTTCATTGGTAGGAAAACATCTGCTCATCCCTACTAAGAATATACTTCCATTTGGAAAGACATGGATCTTCTTTAAAAAAAGAAAAAACTGTTGCTCTCCAAAATGTTAATTACGTTGTTTCATCTGCTTCTGTGCTTATGGTCTGATGTTTCAGAAGAAGAAAGTGAAACTTCTTCAAATCCTGCTTAGACTAGTTCTGTTTAGACTAATTGGGAATACCCCTCATAAAAACATAAGTATACCCTGCTAGATCAGACCAGTGGTCCAGCATACTATTTCATACAGTGACCAGTCAGTTGGCTTGGAAGGCCAAAGAACCAGCATGGAGGGAGTGTGCAGACTGCAGTGTAGTAGGGTAGGTGAGAAAGTTGTATTTTATTTGCAGACCTCTGCTTGCGGTTTGGATTTAATCTGTTGGGCTGGATCCAACGTTTCCATTCCTCTGAATGGTGGAATCTTCAGCACAAGACGATGAGTGTGGGCCTTCTGCTGACTTGGCTCTCCACTATTAGGAAAACAGAATATTGTTGCTATAATGCTGTGTTTCCCCCCCCCCCTTTTAGGATCCAGCAGTGAATCTGTTTCTCAACCTGGCGCTACTGATTTCCAGTGGGATTTAAACCGTAATCAGGCACATATTGATGATGAGTGGTCTGGGTTAAGTATGTTCCTTTTAAGAAATTCTCTAATATTGTTTGACTTGCTGTTTAAGATTTGATACATTCCTGTATTCCCAATTGTTGCATTCTGTGACTATGTAACTACCAAAAGGGGATAAACACACTTTATTCAAGAATAACTCTTGCATCACCTTAAAGCTGGAAACTTACTGTGGCATAAGTCTTTCTGGCCCATGTTCTGCGGTGTTGGGTATATGTACATACCTAAAAAGGAGAGGGAAAACAAGAGTGGTGGGTTTGGGGCTTTGTTGCTGTTTCTCTAAAATGAGGCCTAGAATGAAAGAAGCAGTGCACCTTGTTTCACCCATAAAAGCTTATACCACCAGAAGTTTCAGTGGGTTGTACACAGTGCTTTTTTGAAGTAGAGTAGTTTCTGTACTCCTCCTCACTGCAGCCCTCTGTGCCTCATGACATGCTGTTCCGTTCTGTTCCCCTCAGTGGTGATTTTTTGGAGATGCAGGGGGCAGCTGATGGAAGGGAAGTTCAGTAAAAAAGTATTTTTCTATTAACTTTCTCTGATCATGGAAGCATAGGATCCGATTCTTGGTCTTTAAGATCTTTGTGGCTTTTTGCTGTAACATACTTAATACTACGTTGCAGGTATAAATATCCAGAACAATAGAGTATTGATATTTGGGGAAACACGATTACTGGTACTTAACTAGAGTGTCTACCAGATCTCCCCCCCCCATATACCCCCCCCCTTTTATTTCAGAAAATTTGAGAAAGCAATCAAGTCTTTCTGACCTGGCTTTGGAACAGGAAGAACTTTAGTCACTCTGGACAATCTCTGTCTACAGTTTAAGGGTTTTTCATTTCCTTACTATTATTACGGGATCTAGTAGCAGCCTTAAGCATAGCTGATCACTTGATGTTATAGAAGCACATAGAAATGGGAGTTGGGATTAGCAGTGAAAAAGAAGAGTGGATTTATACCCTGCCCTTCACTCGGAGTCTCAGAGCAGTTTACAAACTCCTTACCCTTCCCCTCTCCACAACGGACACCCTGTGAGGTAGGTGGGGCTGAGAGAGCTCTTTCCAGAACTGTCCTTGAGAGAACAGCTCAGACAGAACTATGGCTTGCCCAAGGTCATCCAGTAGCTCCAAGTGGAGGAGTGGGGAATCAAACCCGGTTCTCCCAGATTAGAACCCACACACTTAACCACTACACCAAACTGGCTACGCCAAAGCACTTGATTGGTTTCATTTTTTTCTAGCTGATTGTGTCCAGAGGGTTGAGATTGGTGAGACTGAATCTGTTTCATGGGGTTTTCAATGGGATGTACACTGAGCTGCTTTGTAATAACTAGGTGGAACTGTTTGATTAGATAGTCCATAGCTATGGATATGCTGGTGACACCCAGTTCTATATTATCTGAAGCCCCAGCAGTGGCTGTCTCTGTCCTCAGTCAGTGTCTTTTGGCTACAGCCAAGTGGCTGAGGGAGAACAAGCTGGAGTTGAATCCATACAACATCAGTGATGCTGGCTGGCAAGGCTGATGTTCTTGAAGATATTACAATTAACGTCTTTGATAGACATAGGTTATCCCTGTCAGCCTCAGCTGGGATGTTTAGACCTTGTTTTGTTACTTGAGACACAAGCGGTTAAAAATAAATAAATAAATAAATAAAAAAGACACAAGCGGTAAGTAGTTGTAAAAGGTGCTTCTTTAAAATACCATCTAACATGCAAAGTGGTCCTCTTTTCTATGGTCAGCCAAACTCGCCATGCTAATCCATGGCACAGTCGTCTCAAGGCTAGACTACTGCAGCAGCCAGCAGACTCTACATAGGGCTGCTCTTAGACAATTTGGAAGCTTCAGTGCAAATGCTGCAGATAGTATATTACAAGGTGCTGGTTCATGCCTATAAAGCCCTTCATGGCCTGGGGAACACATAGCTGTAAGAACGCCTCTTTGAGCTAGTTTGGTGTAGTGGTTAAGTGTGCGGACTCTAATCTGGGAGAACCGGGTTTGATTCCCCACTCCACTTGCACATGGCTGGATGACCTTGGGCAGCAAGCCATAATTCTGGCACAGCTGTTCTTCAAAAAGAGCAGTTTCTGTCAGAGTTCTCTCAGCCCCACCTACCTCACAGGGTGTCTGTTGTGGGGAGGGGAAGGGAGAGGAGTTTGTAAGCCGCTCTGTGACTCCTTTGGGTAATGAAGGGCATGGTATAAATCCAATCTCTTCTTCCTGTTATACCCCTGTATAGCCTACTTCATGGAGCTGCGGTGGCTCAAGTGGTTAAGATGCTGAACTGCAGGCTGGATGGTCAGTAGTTCAACAGTTCAAGACTCGAGTGCTGCATGACAGAGTGAGCTCCCGTCTCTGGTTCCAGCTCCTGCCAGCCTAGCAGCTCAAAAGCAAGGAATTGCAAGTAGATAAATAGGTACCGCTTTGGTGGGAAGGTAACAGCGTTCCATGCGCCTTGGCATTTAGTCATGCCAGCCACATGATCACGGAAACATCTTCGGACAGCGCTGGCTCTTTGGCTTGGAAACGGAGATGAGCACCACAACCCTAGAATCGGGTTTTTGAGCAAGGGAAACCTTTACCTATACCCTACTTCCACTCCTCTGAATGAAATCTGTTCTGTGTGCCCTCCTGCAGACAGGTGTGGCCAGTTACAGCTCACACCTAAACGTTTTCTGTGGTGGTCCTGCATTTCTGAGCTTGTTGGGAAGGCTTCCACCTTGTTATGCTTTAGACTATCTTACAAGACAGAATCGTTGAGGAGAGCGTTTACTTGTATTTGGAAAAATAACCTTGACATGCAAACTTGATACAAAAAAGTATGGCACAACTGTATTAGAAATGTTTTAGTGTTTAGTAGCCAGCAGATGTTTTCCATGGTGATTGTATGCTAATCAGTCTTCTGTTAGATCACCTGAAACTTTGCGTCACTTTTCGCAGATGGACTTTCTCCCGCTGATCCCAGTTCAGATTGGAATGCACCAGCAGAAGAATGGGGAAACTGGGTGGAAGAAGAAAAGGCTCCATCCACCCCACAACTCGAAGAAGCATTATCTGAAGTTCAAAAGGTATTGGTTTGTCAGCAGTGTGAGGTAGAATCAGTTGGACTGCTGGTCTGACCCAGAACAGTAGTTCTTTTACACAAAGAAAAATGGAAGATTGGTTTTTAGACAGTTGCTTCTTTTTCACTCAGTTTCTGCTAACCAAAGCAAACATAAGCCTCTGGGTATTGCATATATATTTGCTGCTGCTTGTGTGAGTGTGTGTGTGTGTGCGCGTGCGTGCGTGCCATAGCTTTAAAGATCTATTGAGTGTTTACACTGGGGTTGATCTTATGAACCATGAATAGATACCCCTCTCCACAGCTGTTTGTCTGTTGAGGTTGGAAAAAGAGCTGTTTCTTTGTATCTGGGGACACTGGAGAGCAAAGCAAAATACATTGTGGGATGTTGCAGCATGATTTATTATTTATTTATTTATTATTTATATTTTTATATTATATTATATT